TTGAATGCCGACCCTTATTTCCTAAACACCAACTCCCATTGCACAGGTCTTATATTATATATTAAAATTATAACTTACCAAATCCCAAAATGCACTTTTATTTGTATGTTTTAATATAGTCGGTATAACCTGTTTACGTCTTTATCGTCACTTAAACACCAATTTACAAAATGGCGGGAAAATAATACACCTAAAACGTGCTGTCACAGCAAAGCGATGATACAATCTGATAATCAGACGCAACGCGTTCGACGTGTTTTGTATTGTATAGCGTAAACAAACTACATATTAATTTGGTAAGATAATTTGACGCTTTATTTAACTTCAGGAGTGGGAGGCCTATGCCAAAACGCATATTATAGAATATGCACCATAATTTAACGGCTTAATTTTAGTTAGTATATTAATATTATGTTTAATTGTAAATAGATCAAAGGTGTAGATACATCTCTTGATAATGTAATTATTGCGTATTTATTGAGTTGATGCTAATATTCTGTCAGCCAATTTAGCTTAGATTTAAAGAAAAATATGTCAGTACCAGCTTTCCTGCAAGATTAAATAAAATGTTTCATCTTTACCCTACGAACATAAGAAAACAGAGGTATCTCCTCATGTACTTGTCCTACAAAATAAGTAAGTATGTACTTTATTTATTTATTTATTTATTCACAGCCTTACATCAGAATACAAAATATATGCATTATAACTGTTATTTTTCTTAATCTACGATAACTGATTCTGTGTGCCTACGGGCAAAGGCCTCCCCAATTGTCCTCCATTTTTCCTTATTGTATACCAATCTCGTCCAGGTCTTAGTCTTTCCTGCCATTTCCATGATTTCATCGGCCCACCTTTTAAATTGCCTACCTCTGTTTCTTTTATGGCCTCTTGGTTGCCATAGTGTTACAATTTTGCTCCATTTATCTGCTCCTCTTATGGTTTGTCCAGCCCATTTCCATTTTAGTGCTTTTGTTTTATACACAACGTCAGCAAACCCTGTTTTATCTCTTAATTTTTTGTTACTAATTTTATCAATTCTTCTTTTCTTTATTATGCTTCTTTCCATGGCTCTCTGGGTTACACTTAATCTTTCAAATTGTGCTTTGGTAAGTGCCCATGTTTGACAGCCGTATGTAAGAATTGGTAGGATGCATATGTTAAAAAGTTTTCTCTTGATGCGCATGCTTGTTTGACTATTTTTCATAACTTCTTTTAGGGACCAATATCTCTTCCATGCATTTCCAATTCTTCTTTCTATTTCCTTTGTAGTTGAATCATGGTTGGATATCAGTTGACCTAAATAAAGATATTCCGATACATAATCTATTGTGTTGTCATCTATTTTTATTACTCTGTCATTCCTGCCATTGGTCATGGCTTTAGTTTTTTGGATGTTCATTAAGAGTCCAACTTCTTTGCTAGCTGTATTCAGTTCTATGAGCATATTTTGTAATTCTTCTGCCGTATTTGCAAATACCACTATGTCGTCCGCGAATCTCAGATGGGTCAGTTTCTCGCCATTTATATTTAAGCCATATTCTGTCAAATCTAACTTTTGGAATATTTCCTCTAGAACAGCTGTAAACAGTTTGGGCGATAGAGGGTCGCCCTGTCTTACTCCTCTAAGGATATTTATGTCGCAGCCTTCCTTTTCCATTTTGATCTTTGCTGTGGTACCTGTGTAGATGTTCTTAATTATCCTTATGTATTTGTGCTCCACACCCTGCTTTTGCAAAGCTTCCCAAATTTTTGAGTGGTTAAGTGAATCAAATGCCTTGCAGTAGTCTACAAAGCAACAGTAAAATTGGATGTTATATTCTTTGCACTTTTCAGCTATCTGTCTAGCAACGTGCATGTGATCCACTGTCGAGTAGTTGTTTCTGAAGCCTGCCTGCTCCCTGGGTTGATTTTCGTCCAAAGTTTTACTGATACGGCTTAAAATAATTTTTGAAAATACTTTATATAAGTTGGACATTAGGCTTATGGGCCTATAATTACCAATGTCATCTCTGTTACCTTTTTTATGCAGTAGTTTAATAGACGATACAGTCCACTGTTTTGGAATACTTTCCGTTTCCAGGATAGTATTGAAGAGTTTAGTCAGGAATGGTGTAATTATATACTTTGTTTCAAGTAGCACTTCATTTGAAATATTATCAGGACCTTGTGCTTTGTCTCTCTTCAGTGCGCTGATTGCTTTTTCGACTTCGCGTTGCATAATGGATGGTTCTTTATCTGAGTCAAGTAGTTCAATGTGTTCATTTGTTGATCTTTTTGAGTACATTTCTCTGTAATAATCTGTGGCAATACTTATAATATCTGGTCTTTTAGTTTTGTCTTTACCAGATAAATCTTTAAATTTGGGTATCCATTGCACCTTTTCTTGTAGTAGTTTTATGGCTTTTTTAGTTCCTCCAGTTTTTTCAATTAGGTTTTCCAAAGTTCGTAGTCTATATAATTTCCTGTCTTTTCGCATACTCATTCTTAGATCTTTGCTTAGTTGAGCAATGACTCTTCTAACTTCTACTGTTTTAGGGGAAGTTTGTATAATTTTTTCCATTATTCGTTTTGTCTTTTCCGACAGTATATCTTTTCCTTTTCCATGTACTTCTTTTTTCGTACTAAATTTACTAAGAATATCTGAGAATTTGCTGTAGATTTTCAGTGTATTCAGCTCTGATAGATCTTCTTCTATGTTCTTCAATTCTACTTCCAGTTATTTGGCTGTTAGTTGTGGTCCTTTATTTTTCGTTGTTTATTTTTGGTGGTTAGTGAATTTCCTAGTACATTTTATTGCTGTAGATTTAAGCTGGGTACGCACCATTCGATGGTTAGTGTTAAAATTTAAATTTGAAATGACTTGACAATCTTCAAATGATCTGGCACTATTGGTAAGTATATAGTCAATCTCATTTTTATAGCGCCCGTCAGGAGATGACCATGTCCATCTTCTGTTTTGTTTTTTCTTGTATAGTGAATTTAAAATGACTAAGTGTTGTTCGAAAGCTAAATCTATTAGTTTCTGTCCATTTCTTGATCTTTTTCCTTGGTAGTGAGGTCCCATTATGATTTCTTCGCCGTCTTTCCTAGTCCCTATTTGAGCATTAATATCTCATTATTGGGGAATGAAAAGTATGTACTTATCTTTTTTAATTATCATGTCTCATGACGGGTGGGAAAGAAACCCTAGTGCCTAAATTAGCTAAATGCTACAATAAAGTTTCTATCGATATGAATAATTATTCCCTTTCATTTTCCATTATTTTGTAGAATATTATCTAAATAAATACATCTTGACAAGACAATCCGGTCCTTACAATATTTTCTGTCATCGTACATTTCCGTATGAGCGAGTGATAATTACGCAGAACAGAATAAACCCTAAAAAAATATTTGTCTTATAACTGTAATAAAACAATGCATATTTTGACTAAGTCTTTATTTATGACAAGTTCAAATATCTTACAAAGAGCCATAACGTGGCGAATGAATGGCAGTTTTTAACCACGAGAGATTACGCTGCACTTACCGTGACTGACTTGGCTTATCTTTTTCAAAACTAGCAACGTTTCCACGTTGACCAAACGAGTTTTATCAATACAGTATAATTAAAAGCTATTTACAAAAGTCAGTAAAATGTAATTTCTTACAATTTCACTAGAGATCGAGTACAAAAAAAATCTCATACAAAACTACACTACAGATAAAACATTGAAATCAGTGTTGTTAATACTGATATGTAGATTATACTTTTTATATCATATCCTTGTACTTTAAATCTGAACCGATTTCACAAATAATAACCAAATTTTACATTGTATACTTATTAATCTACAGTCTTAATAGTGATGTCGATATAAAGTTTTCGTACCACATAATTCCCTTAATCTGCTAAACTGGCGCAATAACGAAAGAACAACACGAAATTGACTTTCGTCGTTAGTGGTTTACATAGTTATTCGATCATACTTTGTTAGATTGGCAACATTTGGAAATCGGTTGTACACTACTGTGTACAACCGATTTCCTGCCCTGCTGGTCTAGAGTAACAAACTGGTACAAAAGCCAAGTACTAACTTATCTTATTTGAATATATTTCTATTAAATCTTCATATTATTCATCTCTCGAAATAAATATTGACCATCTCAAAATGTTTATTAAATTAGGAAACTTAAACATTAAATAATAATATGTACTAATTCTTATTAACAAGTGCAAATAGTGAAATCCATTCCCTTTGGTATAGGCATATAGAGTAACCCACAATATATAGTTTTCACGGTCCCTCCTAAGTCCTATAGCTATTGCATAGATTTTATCGCGGGCTTTGAGCGCGGCGACTAAATCAAGAAATTCCGTAACGAAAATAAAAACCTAACACACGATGACGTAATATAGGTGCGACCAATACGCGATAGAGCGGGACAGAACGCAAATTACGTCTCACATCGGTCTGGCGTGATCGGTGACTTAGCGCAGGTGCGTTAGAGTGGGACAGAACGCATACTTCGTATTCACATCTCTCTGACGAGATTGGTGACATAGCATAAGCGCGGCCGATGCAGCCGGTACGCGTTAGAGCGAGACAGACTACATAGGCGTGTTAGTCTCAGTCTGGTAGAGTGGTAGATTGAATTAATATCAAAGAAAAAACTTGAATTAATATCAGAGAATAAAAAATACTGCGTAAATAAAAAATGAATAAACAATTATAATTGCATAAGTTGATAAAAAATGCTATGCAATAGCTTTATCGCGGCAGTCCCCGAGTGCCACACGTTCTTTTGTTGGAAACACATCTTGGTCAAAACCGATTAATAACACTGGCTGCTAATACTTATCGCATTGCCCTTATAAAATTTGCACACCAAGATGGTTTTATACAAAAATAATATTTAAGCTTTAAAGTGTACATTATTTTAATTAAATTTTTTTTTAAAGAATTATTATAATTACAAAAAAAATAAGAATTTTTTGAATTATTACATGAGAAAAATTATTTTAATATAATTTCATAAAAAAATCTTGATTCATTACTCACTTTACTCTCATAATCAGCAATTGATGAAGTATGTGATTGTAATCTAACTTTTGCTGAAATTTTACACTGTTTATGGGATATTGTACTTAAATGAGTTGACACATCTTGCCAACAATTAACTATTATATTGCAAAACCCACAGTGATAGTGATTAGAGGGTAGCTGAAAAAAAAGTTAAAAACCCATACAGTCCAGAAAGTATTATTTTACATCCTATCGTTCTGTGTAAGTATAAAATAGGGATATCTTTTCTCATCATTAATCACCATTGAAATGCAATGGCTGAGATTAAAACCAATCAAACAGTCAAATTGAATTTTTTGCTGAAAAAATTATGACATTAATATTAAAAATTAAAAATCTTACTCACTTGTCGTATAAATTCATCTTTTACATTGATCACAAGTTTCATATTATTTAACACGTCAAGATGATCTTTTGATTTTGTATGCGGCAACCACTCGTCTTCATGAAGATACAAATCACAACATAGACATTTAAACATATTCACTTCTGGAATGCTAGTAAGCAAGATAAAACTCAGTACATTCATGCAAATTTCATTGTTTATAATGTGATCTTTGAAAGTACCAGTGTCTACTGTTACTAATGTTTGGATGAATAAATTTAAAGGTATAGTTTCAATTTTAGTTTTATTTGCTTCAACTTGTGATTTGTGTGCATTTGAATGTATATGATCTACCATATCTTTTAAGGAAAATGATACTTGTGTTTTACATATTTCACAAGAAACTAAATTCTGATCCGGTAAATGTTTAAAGTTGTTTTTGTTTGCATAGTTTTCTTCTTCATTTATTTGAGGAGTTAAATTTAATAGTGTATCACTTTCTTGTTTTGTCTTTTGTTTATCTTTAAGGTCGTCCATGTGTTGTGTAAAAATATGACCTTTTACAGTATTGTAATCAAAAGATAAATTTATAGAACATTTCTTGCATGTCACCTGCTTAGTTTCAAAATTAATATTAATATAATTTTTCTGAAACTGTTTTAATGAATTTATAAGTGTTCTGTCAGTCAATTGTGTCTGGCTAGAATCATTGTCAATTTGTTTGGAATTTTTTTTTGGGCCTGACTCATTAATCTTTTTCTCATGTTGACCTATATGTTCTTCAATTGATATATAATTAAAATCAACTTTTGTGGAACATAGTCTACACATCGCTTTCATATTATTAAAGTTAATGTCAATATGATTATTCTGGAATCTTTTTAAAGCATCTACAATCATATTATGTTGAAGTTCAGTTGAATTTTTTTCAGGCTCATTGAGTAAGACCAGGGGAGAATTAAGTGTTGAGTTCTGTTGAGGCACCTCATTTTCCATTTTCTCAAATTCTTCTTGAATGTTTTCATTTCCAGTCTCTATGTTTGATGGCTTTAAAGTTTTATTTTGTTCAACTGGAGTTTTGTTTTTATATCCCTGGTTCTTTGATTTTTGAATACGCATTTTATGTAGTTTAAGAATATTTGTATGGTGTACACTAGTCAAATGTGCATTTATTTCAAATGAACCCATAACCCAATCGCATAAAATACACCATTTCCCGGGTCCGTCATCATTTTTTATAACATAGTTATCAGTATCGAGAACTTTACAAATCATTTCTTCTGCTTCTTTTAAATTAAATACAGTGTTTTCAATTGCGTAAGCATTTGTTTCGACTGTATTATTTACAATTTCTTCAGGATGATCAGATTTTTCATCTGTATATATAGTTTTTTTTAACTCAGGCAATGGTATAGGAAAATGTATTTCCACATCTTCATTTTGCATATTTAGGAGATCTGTTTGAATATCCAAAGGTATAGCTTTTTCTTTACTAGCAAGTTCAGGAATATCAATTTTTTGTTGAACTTCATTTTCTTTAGCTGATATTTCTTCACCACTGTTTTGATCATCAATGAGTTTAGCTGCTAACATTTGACATTTTAAATACATATCTATATGTTGTGAAGCATCAAAATGTGTATTAACTGGCAAGGCTTCTTGAGAATTGCAGGTAATACAATGAAAAGATGTCTCATCTACCTATAACCCAAACAATACATATTTATTTAAAAAAATAGATGATAAATTGTAACCATCCTGTCGGGTTTTTTTGGCAATTGGTTCCAAATAATGACTATATTAATCTATCTATCTTCTAAGTAGTATAAATAAAAAACAGAACAGACAAAACATGCCATGTCATAATTAAGTTAATAGGCTATTTCTGCATCACATTCCAGAACTGATCAAACTGACATTTAAATTCATAATTGTTTGATATCTTACATTTACAGAAAGTAAAGTTCAAATATTTGCAATGGTAAAATTCTCTTGTGCAAAGAAAAATCAAATAATCTTAGTGGATTAGTAAAGGGTACAGTTTTCAGCATAGAAGTTGGTAAGAGGATTTTTTAGGGCTTTCACTATTAAAAGTACTTGCACAAACTGTTCCTTCTTATTAAAACTTTTTTACAAGATGATACCAATAATTAGCCACAAGAGTGCCTACAAAATTTCAAATACTTATTTATAAACAGTAAAAACTTAGCTCTTTTTAAAAGAAGTTATTTGGAAAAAATTAGGTTCATTTTAATTTAAACATACAAGAATAACAAGTCTTACCATACGGAAAATATTTTTGTTCTGAAATTCAATATTACTTTGCATAAAGTTTATATGATGTATGGGATCTTTTAAGTGTCCTGAAACATCTTCATACTCATTGTTACATAGAATGCATGTGCTATCACACAAACCTTCCCAGGCTTCATTATCAATGTGTACATCGTCAAAGGCAATTAAAGCATTTCCATATCTTTTGATGAACTGGTCTTTTTTGTTTGCAACATGTTGCGTTTCCACAATATGTAATCTTACTTTAGCTTTGGTTTTCAAGACTATACTACAAAATTCACAGAAATACCATAGTTTGATCTGAAATAAGTAAAACAATTATTAAAAATTTCTTTGTTGAATCCTGTCTCAACTACCACTTTTTCTAACTAGTTTTTAAGTGACACAATATAAGTAATTCACAATAACTTACAATATTTTACATGAAAATAGAATTTATATTGCAAAAATTAACAACACATTTTTTAAAATAATATTTTGTAACAGAAGTTGTGTGTGTAGCATTTAACAAAATTGAATTAATACAGTACTTTTTTAATGCCATCATCTTTAGACTCATATATTGTCTTGCCCAATTGCTGTTCATGAGAATCTGTTATAATATGTTTAATTGTATCTTCTACTGTCAAAAAACGATTTTCGCAAACTAAACAATAGAAATCAATATGACCAGACAAGATTGTGTGTTTACTGAAAAAGGGGGCCATCTTGGCATCAGGGACTCTGAAAAACACAAATTTTATAATTATTACTTTATTTTAAGCTTACTTAAAATTAAGAATAATTTTGTTATCATTACTTAAATCTCAGATCGACTTCAACTACCTTCCTTTCTTTTTTGCCTTTATCATTCTAAGTTTCTAACGATCACCTAATCACTAATCAGTATACTTGACATTGTTGATTGTCCATTGAATATTAATACCTACGTAATATTGTGACATAAATTATAAGAATCATTACTGTAACGTTAATAAGATACATATTTTCTGCAGTGCATTCAATCTTAATTGATTTAAAGTGTAAACAAACCTTATAAAGTGAAGATATATGTATAGACTATAGGTATTTTTTGAACTTATATTTATATAATAAATGGCTTTAAAAGATTTATAATAAAATACTTAATTTATCAAATCTATTTAAAATATTAATTTTTATACGGCAGAAAAGTGACACAAAACTACCACAGATAACAGATTAGTCGACACTCGACGAGTCGTGGAACTACGTGCGTTTTCCAATTACAGAGCATTATGCGACTCAGTGCCGCACAATGCCGCATAATGCTGAAGCTTAATTGGAACGTGAATTAGTTTTCAAATGCATCACAGAGTCACTAAGTCAGTGTTGTAAAAAAATGTTATGAATTGAGTTGTGAATGTGTAACAAATTGGTTGAAAACTTTTAAGCTTATTTTAATCATCAAATTATTTTATTAACATTTTTATTGAAATAATAGAAAACCTTTAAAGAATATAAGGTTTTAACAACTAAATTAACAGTAAAATATTTAGTTTCATGTAAGAAGTTTACATCATTTACGTTTTGAGTAATTTAATGATTTCTAAAAAAATTTATACTTTTTCAAAACCATTGCAATTTTTTCTAAAGTATAATCCTGTAAAATAAATTTGTTTACAGATCCGAATAAAAAAAATTGTATCATATTTTAAATGTGGAATATAAAAAAAGTAACTATAATACCTTCATCCATACTAATATTTTTTTTTTAGCAGTTTGAAAAACTTTAATTATTTTCAAAATCTACGACGAAACGAAAGCCTTACAAATTTTTCCAAAAATTTTACTAACGAAAATTTCGATAAATGCCAACTTAAAGAAAAATACTGGTCAATTTTCTTCACTTGTTGGTATTGTTTGCGAGAAGCACGCAGAGCATTCGTTTTGAGAGTGCTCAATTGTGCGAAGCGTTGCTGTAGTTGGAACACTCAACGTTGAGCATTATGCCGCAAAATGCGCTCTAGTGCTGTAATTGGAAAACGCACTACTAGTCCAGGCGCTAGCGCCAGCGAATTCAAGCGTAACAACCCTTGCAACTTGAAACATTTAGTTGGATCATCGAATCCTCCACAAATATACATCTCACAGTCTTCTTTGACTTGTGCATAATTTGGAGCATTAGCTCACAGAAATCGAACGAGTAGCAATTTATTATAAGCGTTAGCAAAAGCTTTACAAACAGCAGGAGTATTTGTTGAGTAGTGGGAAATTATGATATTTTCATGGTATGGCCTTTTCTCCGTAATTGTCTCCAAAATGTTTATAGAAAAACCGTCACTGCTGCTTCACGATAACGCTAGACCACACACTGCACAACAGACTGGAACCAAATTAGAGGAGCTGTAATTGGAATGTCTTAAGACATCCACTGTACTCCCCGTACCTTGCTCCCAACAGATTACGATTTTTGCAAGGTAAAAAATTTAAGTCTGCCGCAATGGTATATACTATATATGGTATATTTTTATACTATATACATTGATTAATTAAATATATTCTATTTTAAAAAATCTACTTTTTATTCCTCACATACAAAACGCCAATTTCATATGCAAGGACCTAATATAAAATTCAAGTAAAGTTGCTCAACAAAGATAGCAAAGAAGGGAGGACTGAGGCGTGCGCGAATAATATTTCTTTAAAACTGTAATCGACCATCATTTCAATGTTGAATTACAGAAAAACGAATGCCATCATCGCTCACATTTTTTTCTACTATATATAATAATATAGTAGAAAAAATCTGTGATGTTAGTATAACTGTGTCTCATCTTTATCTGTGGTCTGTACTCTGTAATAGTCTAGTCTGTAAACGTAAGCGGCAAGCGTGCATATCGTTTTTAGTTAACCAAATTGTATTTTATGTATCATAAGAAACTCATTTAAAGGATCAATTGAATTTAATTATTTCGTGTAAATAAGTTTAAACAATGTAAGTCAACGTTTTTTGAGGTTGTAGTTAAGTAGTAGTAAGGTTTATGATTATCACTTAATGAAAATATTTTGGCGTTGTTTATAGGGCAACAACGACGAAACCTCGTTCTGAAATGACCCTGGAAGAATTATCAAAGATAGAAGAAGAAGAATTCAGTACAGGACCTTTGTCTGTTCTTACACAATCCGTTAAAAACAACACTCAAGTACTTATTAATTGTCGTAACAACAAGAAATTGTTAGGGCGCGTCAAAGCGTTTGACCGGCATTGCAATATGGTCCTTGAAAACGTTAAGGAAATGTGGACCGAAGTCCCTAGGACTGGCAAAGGCAAGAAGGTAAACAGATATTTGTATTACTAAATTTTTAGAATTAACATCTTTTCCAACTTAAGAAATCAAATTTTTTAGAAAAAATACTTCACAGCACCACATGTTTAATGTTTGTTTTAAAAGATATAGACTTACTAAGAAATTCTTAATGATTTCAAAATGTATTTCAGGGTAAAGCAGTAAATAAGGATAGATTCATCTCTAAAATGTTTCTACGTGGAGATTCTGTGATTCTAGTTTTGAGAAATCCACTTGCTACAGCTGCGGGAAAGTAATTTCTGATCTAATGGTGACTTATATTAAATTGGATAAGAGCAGTTGATATAGAGGAAAGTTAAACATAGCTTCTAAATAACTTGTACAAAATCCATAGATTACTGTTGTACACAGAAGAAAGATACATGTCATCCTGATGGTGTGGTATTGTAATTAATGCTTAGTTAAGTGTATGAATATTTGTTTTTCGGTATGTAACACTTTCTTCTATGTATGACCTTCATCAATAGCTTAATGTATGAAATAAGTTATATTTTGTGTTTTGTTCCGACTTTGATACCAATAAATAAAACATTGCACATACCTTCTATTAATTGTGTAATTCCTTCAAAACACTAACATTGATTAGTGCTTAAGTCAGTTTATGCTAAGCTAGTAAGATTTCTTGTATCTTATTCTCTTGTCATAATAGCTGCAAAAATTACTACAAAAATTTAAAAATTCAATATAATAAAAAGAACTAGTGGCAGTACAACATTTTAAGATATGGGCTTAATATTTTCTGTATTTGTATTGTGATCTCTTTTTTCTTATTACAAGCAGGTGATCAATGTTCCTGACAAGCTTTGGATTGACTTTTCGGGTCTAAGAAATGCCAGATTCTTCAGGATGTTTTCCTGTATTAGCAACTTAAAGGGCTGAGGTTTCTAAGGTTCGACCCTACAACCTGTTGAATGAGACATATAGTGATGATCATAAAACAATGGCGGATTTGAAAAAAAATCCAAAATCCACTTTTTATCATATTTGGATACTACATTGACTAAATATTAGAGCTACATTAAAAAAAATCCATGTGTTTTAAATTTCAAATTAATAACATACAATATGCCAATGAGTATAAGCTATCAGTGATCAACACATTCTTCAAGAAAAAACAATCATTCAAATGGACATGGATATCTCCTGACCAAAGAACAAAAAACGAAATTGATTTCATACTGAGCAATATTCCAAAATCTATAACCAATATGGAAATATTAACTTCCCATCAGACCACAGAATGCTGAGATGTTGCCTGACCCTAACATCCCCAAAGATGAGTCGAAGATCATTTCAAAAAACAGTAAGCTTACTTAAGACTAGTGCAGAAATAACAGAATATATCCGAAACCTTGAGGAGAATTCGAAAGCATTACATGTTAGTTTGGAGAACAAAATAAACATACTTATCTATAACATAGAAGAAATAATTTCAACAAGTCTTAAATTAGAAAATAAAACAAACAACAAAAACAAACAAAAAATACTTAAAAAAGAAACATTACAACTAATTTCAAAGCGCCGAGAACTAACTTCTATAAAAAATAAAACTGTAGTTACAAAAGCTCAAATAAAAAACATCTGGAAACAAACCTACAAAGCAATCAGAGAAGACTACGCTACGTACAGAAAAACAATAATCGAGGAAAACCTAGCAACGTCCAGAAGCGCAAAGCGAGCATACAAATAATTAAATACACACAAAACATGGATTCAGAGCCTAAGAAACAGTCAGAAGAAAGCAATAAATAGGGAAGACATCCTAGATCTTGCAACCAACTTTTACCAAGAACTTTAAAAAAAACCCAGAAATCACAAAAATTGAAGAAGACAACGTATATATATCTGAGAACGACTCATCAGGAGCATATAGATATGGATACAACGATCATGCCTATAAGTAAAGTCGAAATATTGCATCACATAAAAACCCTTAAGTCAGGAAAAAGCCCGGGGCCAGATAACATAACCAACGAGGCCCTGAAGTTTGGAGCACCTTTCCTAGTTACATATCTGACAATACTTTTTAACATGGTAATAGAACGAGGGGAAGTTCCAAAACAATGGCGCCAATCAAATATAGTATTACTGTACAAAAAAGGCAACCCATTAGACATTGCGAACTACAGGCCAATCAGCTTGGTATCCGTAATATATAAATTGTTTTCATCAATAATACTAAGCAGAATATCAACAAAAATTTACGATAACCAACAAGTAGAGCAAGCAAGCTTCCGCCCAGGATATTCTACTATCGACCACATCCACACTATCGAACAAATCATCGATAAATACAATGAATTTAACAAACCACTCTACATAGCATTTGTAGACTATTCGAAAGCGTTCGACAGTATAACGCATACATCCATATGGAAAGCGCTTAAAAATAATAAAGTAAATGAAAAATATATAAATATATTACAAAACATATACAGCAATAGTGTTGGTAGAATAAAGCTAGAAAACAAAGGCCGAGACATTCGAATTGAAAGAGGTGTAAGACAGGGTGACCCACTTTCCCCAAAATTATTTATAGCAGTCCTCGAAGATGTATTCAAAGGTATAGAATGGAATAATAACGGCCTCTGGATACGAAACAAACATCTTACTCATAGTCTAGTCGACAAGTTGAAAATGGTACAAAATAGAGATACTGCTCTTAAAATTATGTGTGATACCTCATTGGATCCGGAATGACGTCTAGAAAAATGTGCTAAAAGCGTGTATTACAAAATACACATAAATAATTGCAAAAGTTATACACAATTAAAGATGAAAAAAAAATGTCATTTAGTTTTTTGCCAATATTTAATAAACTATTAATATTTAAGAAATTTCAAAAAACATTCTAAAAGAGGAGGAAATTTCCAATCTCCTCCTCTCTCCATTATTTATAATTTTAATTTAACGCTGAAAATAGGTCAAAAGCAAGAAAACAACTAGAAAAATCCTGTCTTGCCAGCATGCAATGGAAAGAAGCATCCTAAAGTTGAGGAGAATAAATAAAATAAAAAATGTTGAAATCCGTAAAAAAACCAAACTTACAGATGCACTTGAACAAGCTCTAAGGCTAAAATGGAAATAGGCAGGTCATATTGCTAGAGCGCGGGATAAAAGATGGACACTAGAAATAACGAAATGGACTGGACCTACTGGAAAGAGATGTATAGGACGACAAAGGAAAAGATGGACAGATGACATTGTAGAACTTGCGGGGGAAAACTGTATGAATGTTGCTCAAAACAAAGAGAAATGGAAAAATATGGAGGAGGCTTTTACCCTTAAAGGGGCCATACAAAAACTAGACATAAAAAATTAAAAATAAATCTAACTTAAATTTTGTTTAAAACTTACTAACTTAACTAATACTTAACTTAATTAAGGAATATAAACTAACCAATTGTTGTATGGATTAAATTAAGCTTAATAAATAAAAACATACAGTCGGTAAAGTGACGGATTTGATAGACGCTCATAGAAGCATTTTTCTAGAAAACTATGTAATTTAAAATGTATTATTTTTATTTTGTTTTTAAACAAACTCTTGTTTGCTTGTATGCCAATTTTCATTATAACAGATTATTAATTAAAAATGTTATGACAAAAAAACTAACATGATTATATTATTTTGAAATGGCTGCCTTGTAAAGTTTACTATATTATGTCGGATCCGTCACTATTCTATGACGATATGCTGAAGCCACAAGGCCATAACACAACTCAATGGGCGTGTTTGGCCGAAGTAAGTACTTACTAAACTTAGTAAGCCAGTAAGCATAAAAAAATTAAAGTCTTACAAGCTGACTGTAGCGCTTTTCGGCCAGGACAGACTTACTGGCTTATTAACATAACACAAAACACCGGTTTATGTCATATCCCGTACATATCTGAACAATGACAGGTCTGTTCCTGTCCGTTTTGTTTACATCAACAATAAGCAAAATGGCGTCGTATATTAAGCCATACTTACTGCGTTAGCACTTATTTTGTGTCCCGGCCGAAAATTTTGTAAGCATAGTAAGTGACTTACTAAATTTAGTAAGTACTTACTTCGGCCAAACACGCCCATTCTGTATATAATAAAAAAAACACAAATTTCAATAAATCATTTTATATTGCTGAATATAATAATTATAAGCTAATCAAAATTATGTCACTACTTTGTGACAAATGGTGCCAAATAATAACAGTCTTCTTTATAAATAAAAGTCAAACTTGCTACCAACACCAAATACTTTCCACAAATGCTAGTCGAAAATCACTCTTAAATACAATTTCTTTGGTTGTATTTACAAATTATGTACTTAAAAAAAGATTAAGATAAGTAGATAGCTAGACTTGTAAGAAATATAAATATCAAATGAAAATATAACACAACCAATTATATACCTATCTACTGTAATGCATATGTACATATGGCTTATGTATTAAATAATTTGAAATCTTAAGAAATTTTTAAAATATGTTTAGCAATAGCAAGATTAACTAGCAGAAACTATGCCAAAGGCTATTCTGTCGACATTCAACATCTCACCTTATTGTTAATTATTTGACTTATAATAATGGTTTGTGGAGAATATCACTATTCTACACTTTATAGCATTTTTATCATAATGAATTCTGATAAACATTTCTATGTTCTATTGCTTTCTTAAAGAGCACCAACTTTGTACACTGGCAGTGAATTTACATAATATGGACGAATGGCACATTCTATTCCTAAATTCAACCAAACAAGATAAAAGATTAAGCCATTTTTGTATGCTTCTCGGTGTAATTGTATATGGGAATAAAACGTAATGACTGTGAACACACAATATCATAACACATATTAAAAAGTTTTTGCATTGCTCTATCAGTAAATATTATAGGTAATATAAGCAAATACTAAACAAGAATTTTCCAATAATGTGTGAGCGCCTTTATCTCTGTTGTACTAACTTTCTACGCTGTCAAATTATATAACCAGAGATTTAAAAATAGGGTTACCTTGTGTATCATACAATTCTGAGGCAAGATTTATTCCCTAATATTATCTTGTAATAATTTTGAAGCAAATTTGCCCATTTCCTGTAAAAAATTGTCGTTTTTCTAGCGATCGAAATTGTAAATGAAATAAATACAACACTTGTAACTTTACTACATTTTTAAATCTCTGGTTAACTGTGCTAGCACCATAATATAATTATCTTTTATTATATCAACACGCATATCACTCTTCTATATAAAAATACAAATTAATCGTACTTTAAGACACTTAACGTTTCGTTATACCTACGAGGAATATATACAGAGATCCATATGAAAGGTATTGCAACACATGAAGTTAGGACCTTAAGAATATGATATATTACGTATAAGGTAACGCAAGCTTGTAAAGAATTGAAATATTAAACATTGCCAGTTGAGGGATTTTACCCAAGCCAAGTTAAATTTTAAAATAAGTAAAGTATTTATTTTATTTTATAGTTTATATGGAAACAGAACGAAATCTCCAGTGTGATGTTTAAACCTGTAAAACAGTTCATGTGTGCAATTCCTCGAGGGTCACAATTATTTCGTCTTTTGGTTCTATTATACTACTACTTATTTAATATGTACAAACTTATTACAAATTTCACTAAAACGGCTACATATCAAAATATGAACACTTTTATTTTAATAAGAATAACTATAAAGCAAAAGCTTCCGTTTATAGATAAATTTATAAGCGGCCAAAAACAAGTACTTCAAGTTAATGAAAAATTATTATTATGTCAAAAAATTAAGTCATCTGCTAAACTGAATTTAAAAAATACACTCGACTAGACTTTCTACAACTGCATATCATAACTTCATTGTAGTATAATTTTAGTAATTTCATCACACAACAGTCTTAATTTTTCATCTTTATAATTCATACAATAATTCACAAAAATGAATCAAATCCATTCATTTCAAAAACTTTCTGAAATCCTTCACATGAAAATATAAAAAATATTGTTCCATAATTACTCTCATAAAAATAATCATTGCTATTGTTTTCCAGTGGAAATTTCTTTGCCTATTGACTTTCTATTTTCAAATTTTTGCTGTAAACTGGCAACATTAGACGGTTTCGACATCAATTTCGTTGAATTCGATTTTACATTTGAATCTGTTCTTTGAACTATATTAGTCGGTTTCGGTACGACTTTCGGTCGATTTTTATTTAAATTATCCGCTATTGTTTTAACAGAGTCTGTTTTCGAATTGACCCTACTAATTGGATTTTTGTCTACGCCTTTTAAATTAGAGGCAGAGTTGACTGGCTTTAAAACAGGTTTTGTTGTCTGTTTTTTCTCCATTGGCGTAGGTTTTAAAGGTGGTCGATTATCAGTTTTAGTTACACTAGGTTTAGACGCAACTTTTGGCGGTTCAACCTTATTATTGTTGATCACGTCGGGGGCCTTAATATTTTTTGTATCTACACAACTTGATACAACGTCAGGGCTGTTGGTAATTTTTTGGGGGAGTATTTTTAGAAATCGCTTTTGGCGAGGATGGTACAGTTTTAAACGTACTAGTTGATCTCAGGCCCGGTGGGGTGACTTGTCTGGAGAAAGTAGGTATTTTTGAATTAACTTTCAAGGAGGGGGAGGGTGGTTTTTCTATGACGTCTTCTTGCATACGAGTGGGTACGTTGACGGCTGACGGGTGTAAGTAACCACTACTTGTTGTTGACTTGGCACCAGAATTGCTATAGACGCTCTCTGGCGTCTTGTAATCAGTATTCATGTACGTGCTATCTCTATTCTGTGCATTTTTCTTCTCTTTCTCTTTTTTTCTCGCAAGGGTTGACGTCGAGTAGATGGAGTCGAAGTTACGATTTTGTATTTCGTTGACTATTTCTCCGAGTAAGCCCATGCTTTCCGTGCTTCCAGAATTAGAAGTTATAGGTTTCGGTGTATTGTAACCGACGGGCGGTTCCTGCGGAGCCGTTTTTATCGGATGAGAAACGGCAGGAAAGCTTTTCGCGTGTTTTTCTGGGCTCTCTTCGATAATAGCGTAAATATTGTCGCTGGATTCTTCGTCAATATGGGCTAAAGGAGCTGACTTTTCTTCTATACAGTCAACATAGTCTGTTGATCTAATTTCGGTCGGTTTAGGGCTTTGATATATTGAAGTTTCTTTTTCCGAACTAGGCAAAGGTGGAGGTGGAGCTGTAGGTCTACCAACTCCAGATAAGGGCCGCGGTACACCCGGTGCTTGCCTCATCGATGCAAATGTCTGTAGGGTTGGTTTCTGAGATGCCGGGGCTCGCATACTTTGGGCTCGATTTACAAAGGCTTTAGAGTCATCAGCGTCGTCAGAGTCGGATACAACAGGAACTGAACCCTTCGGCAATTCAATACCCTTTTGTAAAATCGGGTTTGATATTTGCAAATTCCGTAAAGCTACCTTTTCTACTGCTTTCGGCACTTTGACTAGATGGTTCGGATTTTTTGGTAACGAATGACTCCTTTCCACCTGATTTCGTTCTTTTTCTTTCGGCTTATCGTGTTTCAGGAATGATGCAATTCTATTCAAAGATATGCCTTCTTTAACCTTTTTGGGTTCTTCTGGTAATGGTTTTTGCGGCACATTTCCTGCAGAATACATGCTAAGAGGTCTTTTAGGTAAATCTGGAGTCATAGTTGGGACGGTTGGAGCTGCACGTATTGGCCCTAATGTTTTGGACCCTTGAAGGGGGGAAATTAGTTCTTTAGCGGTGCAAGTCGACGCTTCAAGTATGGGACTGGAAATAACCGGCCTCGGAGCAGGATTTGATATAACAACTTCGTCATTCTTTTCAGAATTCATCAACGCTTTAATGCGATTTTGTACCGAACTATTAGTTCTCTTTATCGACGGACTAGTTTTAGGGCTTGTTCTGGTAGTGGTTGGCACGATCGGTAACGGTGGAGCTGATCGTAGGACTGGTTTTAATTGGCCAATATTTTGACTGTTGCTACCACTTCTATGGACAGGAGTAATTTTTGCGCTCTTCTTCGGATCGGTGGCGGTCGATGTGTCATTCTCACTGTTTTTGTCCATTGGTGTGAGGGAGAAGCCTTTAAAGTTCCCAAAGAAGGTAACGGAGGGGTTGACGTTTCCGGTGGGGCTGTGATCGGAGTCACTGCGTAACAGGGATGAGCTCATATCATCTGGATTTGAAACAGTATGAACGCTGACAGCTTGGGCGTTGTTAGGAGTGTTGTTTTGGAAATTTGATGCGAATTTGCTGGCGCTTCTAGATAAGCGACGTTGGAGACTGGATTTTTTTGGAGATGGAATCCTGAAATTAGAAAAGTTTTTATTATTCTTAAAACTTAAGGATTTTGGTTAGTAAAAACATGCAATGAGGATTTTAATTATGCTAGTACCAATAAAAATTCCCAAGTGTTTATTAATATAAAACTATTTCAATACATTATTAATACGTGCATTAATGGCCTTATTAGATGATGCTTATGGGTGATTAGTAGTTTATTAAAAGGGTTATTTTTGTAACCGTTGGTCAAATTTTCTTAACATTTGAAATGTTTTCAAGAATTGACCAACAATTAAGTGATGGTATTAGAAGGGTTAGTACCAAAACCAAAAACCAACTCACCAAGCATGTGCAAACGAAAAGAAAGTAAGTCTATGTGAGAAAAGAAAGAGAATGAATGAATAGTTTTACTTAAAATACCCATTCAAATACAGAACTAAAAATATTATTTTAATGATCATAAATAATTTTACTTATAAATTTAATTGCGATTTTTTGTGGGTTAAAGAATTTATCATCAGCTTAAAATACTAAATTAAATGGAATCCAAAGCTTTTAAGGATAATATAATATACAAGGTAATAAACAAACTAAACTAGTTACACAGACATTAATCTCATTTGTTGTAACAAATTCTTTAAACAATTTCCCAAATAACAAGAGTTAAGTGATCTACAGATAATTATACTTCATAACAAATAACAATACTATAGAAAGGTAAATAATTGTCTGAAGTTAGACACGTATTGGCAACCAACTTCAGATACTTTAGTACGAATACATAATCATTTTTCTAATTACTATGGAAAAGATTGAATAGAATTCGTGTAAGTATATATTGTGGAAAATGAACTGAGCTATTGCCTGTGATTCCTTTGACGTAAGGTCGACATACTGTATTATTAAAAAAAAATTGTTATCTTTTGCTACGGTGAATTTAAATTTATTAAGACTATAGTATTATTATTTGTAATTATTAATTAAACTACGATTATTCTACTTCTTATATGTAAAATTAGCTATATATATTTAAATATCATGCTGAACCCGCATAAATAAAAACTATCTAAGTAAAAAGCGTACTATAGTCGCAATTAGCTATTATGTAGGTTCCAAATGCTAAAAGAGCGATAAAGATAAACATCAAATGGCTATTGGCGAATAGTACGTTTACGGGCAGTAACTTAAAAGGCGACAGAACTGTTGAAAAAAGTACTTAAAAGTTTACCCTTATTGAGCATGCAAAGAGTCATACGCTCAAAGCACAAACATTCAAAAGAAAAATCTCTCTAAATACACACTAATATTGCATACAAAAAATACACTTTAATAGTTCCAACCCTGTTTTCATAATTTTTAATTAATTCTTTTTTAACGAATATAAATTAAATTACTCTAATACTTATGGCTAACATTAACCTTTCTTAATTCAAATCTTTTGGAAATATCATTTACATGTACTTTAGGAATTGATTGTATTTCTCTGAAATTGTCTCTTGACGATTTAGGAAGTCTATCGGTATTCAAAGTATTCAGTTTCTGATTAGTAGTAGACGCTAAACCGGCATTTACAATATTCTCTTTACTTAATTTCTGTTTAACATCTTTAACTGTATCTGGTTTAAATTTATTGATATTGACTGTTAAATCTTTACTTATATTCTCATTTGTTGTTGACATAAGACCAGTTTTCACTATATCAATTTTTTTTATTGCTTTAGGCGTATTCGTGACATTTGGTTTAACCAATTCTGTACTACCCGTAACAATAATGTCGTCTTTATAAATTTTACGTGTAAACATTTTCGTCTCCTTAGGTTTTCTTTTGAATATGGACAAAATTTGTGTCCAATCTGTAGTTCTTTTGATTGGTACGCTCTTAATACTCTCATAGTCGTTGTCGACGTTTTCGTAAATGTTTTCCTTTTGCGTTTTTTCGATTATTTTATTTTGGGGATTTTTGAAAGAGACCAGTTTGGTGAAGGCACCCGAAGGAGAGTATTTTGCAAAGTTAAAGGTGAAATTAGGTTGATGACAAAGAGGTGATTTCAGAGGTGGTTTGAAAATATCTACGTACGTTTTCCTCGGTTTCTTCCACCAGTGCAGCACGTTCTGTCGCGAGTAGTACATAAGGAATAATATGACCAGTATACTCGGCAGGATTCCGAGGAAGATGACATACATCGCCACCATGAAGTTTCTTTGCACTGAAAAAAGATATACAAATATAAAACGATGTAACCGATTAATAGTGAAATCACATTAATTATTTATCTATGTATCACAAGATTTATCTATGTATTTTGGCAAATACATTTCCCGTGTTCTTAAAGACTTTTTCAAATCACAGTTTATTACAAAATGCCTGATATAAGATCTAAGGCCAGAAAGAACCGGTTGTATGTTGCTATCTTTGGTTTTATTTTTCTACATAAATTACTGTCATATATAAAAAAATTACCTATATATACATAGAAACTAGTCACATACAAGAAGTTAAAAAATATAATGATATTTTAGATTGTAACGAATGCGTTACAGTCTATGCGGAAAAAGAACCGTCGTAGGATTGAAGTAATATTTTGTGTTATATTGACAACTGTTTCGTCATTATAGTTAGACAGGAACCATACTTTATACGAAAAGAAAGGCATATCATTTTTGTAAATAAATGAAATTATGCATAGCAAATAAGAATTATACTAGTCCGCTAAAGTGCCAGGCTAGATCCATTTCATAAGTAGCGGAACATCAACAATTTTTTTTTCAGAAAGATACCGATGAAAAAAAAAGAACTTACGACTGGAATCAGTAGCAGGTCCGGAATCGTAGGAGCCGCCTGGACCGGGCAAAGCGCAAAGTGGTGGAGCAAAGCCGAGCTCGCAATGACAGTGACCTGTTAATAAATAATCATTTGGAGTATGGGACAAAAATGTTTATAATACGACGAAATTACGTGTTTGAAGTCCCATAGCTTCCAATGGAGCAAAGATTCATATATTCGCCAGTTGGATATTTTTATCAAATCATTTTTGTCCCTGGCAAGAGTCAAATTGCGCACTTGGAATAAATAAAATCCAGGGTACGAACACAGGACCTTAAAGTAAGTTTAATTTTTACCAATACACTTATTTCAATTAAAAATAACTTTAATATATATATATAAAAAAAACAAATATGCACCTTCAGAATTGCATACACCATGCCCGGAGCAATTGGAAGGACAGTCCGCGGTTTCCTTCTTTGCCACATTCGCTATTACATCCTCTACTGAGACGCACTTGGTGTTCAGACACATCTGTAAAAAAAATTAAAGTCCAATTGCACCGTTACAACTACCTTATTCTCCATCTCTTTTCATCACAGCGTAAATATAATTTGTTTTAGTAAAATGGTAATGTTCAGATGTCCCACTTACAAGCCCTAATGAAATAGTTAAATTTAGAATTCAACTCGATTTTTTATTCTCTAAGTAGCGAAGACTTCACGCTCTTAATTGTATATAAAAAACATTCCAACTAAATTATTTTTACGAATTTTAATTAGTTTGCACCCCGATTATTCAACATTATAAAATTATTTTATAATTAACTAATAATTACTTAAAGATGTCAAGCTCATTACAAACATTTTGTAAAACAAAAAATTGGCGATTAAAAAGAGTGGCGGAGAGTTTATTGCCAGTTCTTCTCCTCCGTTCTACGACCTTGATTTGAGAACTGGCAGTAAAATTAGACGCATTTAATATGTATTTCTTTATTTGCGTTCAAGTGTACATTGTGTTACCTAAATGAATAAATGATTTTGAATTTGATGGATCCTTACCATATTATCTCCACATTTGGCTCCATCCGGGACCATCCCGGGATCAACATCGCTGAGGCCAAGATCAATCATGGCGGTGCGACAGGGTAGAATTGAGCCTAGAATTTTATTTTTTGGAATAACACGTTTTGCACTTGCAAATTAGCATCATTTTGCATATAAGCGATATGAAGAGTCAAGTCAATATTTAGTATAGAGTTATATCGTAGTTTTATTTATTTATTGACTGCCTTCCGGATTCGACTATTGAACCTCAAAATAGTATATTTCATTACAAGTGCGGAAAGCCTGTCATTGCAAAGAGTTTCGACAAATGTCTACCCGAGCCGAGGCGCAGCCGAAGGTGAGGGTTGATCAGTCGGAACAAGTTGCAATGACGGTTCCGGCACTTGTACTGAACAACTTTTTTTAATACAGTTGCGAAAAAATTATGCAATTTAATAAAATAATAAAAAAACAATAAACTCAACTCACTAATCATTTATTTCTTATACAAATTATTGTTCACATATACATTGGTACAGTTTTTTATACTAACTGGAGAAGTTTTAGGTTGCATATTTATTTACTGTTTGAGACATTATAGACTATTATTTATTTCGTATGATTTTTCATGTATATTTAATATATAATATAACAAACAACTAAACGCGCAAAGAACATTTTTGGAAAATGGCGCCAACCGTAAAAGAATATAAGCAGATATTTTTTTTTTCTTCACCCATTCTGGGTAGTCAAAGGGAACTATGCCCATACAGCCAAGTCTTCAGTACAATTTTTTTATTGATATGAAATGAAATTTAAGGAGATGAAATGAAATATAACATAACTCATTGAATCAAATCATTAAATCTTATATTGAAACAAAGCAGTAGCTTCTTTTTAGAAATATTTGCATGAATCATAAAAATTTCTATGATTTTTTTTTAAAAACTTCGTGGTTGGTTTTTCTTTTTAATAGACATTATTTTGACAGTTGGGAAAGAAAACGCACTAGTTCGGAAAAGGTAAAAAAAAAACACGAGTGTGTTTCCCACATCCCGAACGCTATACGTCCCTGCAATACGTTATACGCCACTTTTTGAGCAAGTGTATTAAAAAGATCTTTTGCTGACAATTGTATCGGATAGGATTGTAAGGGTCTGGCCCCCACAATTAATTTACGACTGTGTGGATGTTGTCTCAAATATTAAGGCGACATTAACGATTCCTTGATTTTTCATGTAGGCCTAGCTTCAAGACTTTTCTTATTGATAAACATCTAATAAATCACAATTTACAATTGAATTATACACAGTAAGCCAACTACATTTTGTAAAAATGAATTCTTTTTTTTATGGCATAGTGGGCAAACTAGCTAACGGGACACCCATTTTAGTGAGTGCGTTGTTGGCCTTTGATTGGAGTATTCTCTTTTTTTTTTAAATTGGCTAGTCTAGTCCTAGTCTAGTCATACTTAGCGCAAAATTTTCGACTTCCAAATTTTATTCTAAAAATGTTTTGGTTAAAAAGCGTATTAACACTTTGTCGCTCGTAGTTTCTTTGGCATTCGTGTTCGTAGATTAATTGTTGATACGTTAATCATCACTGTGGTTAAGTTTTAGTATACTCACTAACAACGGTATAGCAGCTTTATTAAACGAATATTAGTTGTTGGTTCGCCAGATAATAGAAAATAAACTTAATTAATTTTAACTTGCAAAACAAATCTGCTTTTTAATAGGTTTAAGTCCTTACCGTTATTATTGATGAACGTCGCAGACAGCAATGAGACAGACTCCATGCCGAACTCCAGTCTCTCATTGAGATGTTTGCACTGCAGTAGACCGCACAGTGCGTTCTGCGGGTAACATCTGAAGAATGTTGATGTGTCTTCGCGCCGATATCCACAATTTCCGTTTCTATAATCGAAAGACATAAGATTTATGAAAAATCCCTAAAAAGTGTCTCTTACTTGTTGTTCAACTTCGAGTTATGTAATAATTTCATATGCATTCGTCATTATTAAAATAAGAATACATAGTAACTTCATCATGAGTTTCACACGTCGAAAAGCTTACGTAAAATTGGACTACGGTCCTTCAAAAAAGAATGTACCAATTAAAAAGCCTTAAAAGGCCGGCAACGCACTTACGGGCCCTCTGAAGTGTCCATGGGCCGCGGTATCACCTAACATCAGATAGGCCTCCTGTTTGCCCCGTTCTATAAAAAAAGCCAAGACTTACTTATCCCCTTTAACGTTCATAGAGTAGTAACATCGCTGGTCTGAGCTCTCCCCAGTGGAACCCCAAAGTAACTTGCATTGGTCTGTATGAGTACGACATGAGCCACGAACACAGTACGCCTGAAATATTAAAATTTCGTTTATTAATACATTTATAAAAGCAAATTATTGTAAATTGTTCAATAAGATAAAGAGGAGAAAGCTCTCGCACAAGCATAAGCTAGAAAAATATTTGCCTAACATTTAAAATTATGGTAAAATTTGGCATTGTTTTAGCTTTGAAACATTGAGTTATATTAATGAACATTAAAAAGAAGAAAGTCGTTTTTTTTTTAAATTAACAGTTTTCGCTCCAACTGCAAAGAAATTAAATGGCTTGGATATAACAAAAAAGCTTACTCGATTATCAGAACAAGGTGTGGCATCCATCTTGTAAACGTCTTTAGGGCAGAACTCCGAAGTGCCCGTACAGAATTCGGGTAGGTCACACTCTTTGTCTGCACTGCGACATACTGTACCAGCTGATTTCGGTCTACAAGTCTGAAAATTAAAAAAAAAAGTTTATTGTGTGTAGTCCCATAATTAGGCAGTGGCATTTCGGTTTAAAATAAATTTCTACTTTGCTTTTATTGGTATTTATATTTACGGGATTAGCCTTCTGACATTGACACATGTCATAGATAGTAGGAATTGTCTCTTACCTTTTTTTTAGGATAAAAGCTGGCCTGGTTTATATATAACAAAAAAAAACGTGAGGCACTCGGGGACTGCCGCGGCAAAGCTATTGCATAGCATTTTTTATTAACTTTTATAATTATTTATTTATTTTTTATTAATGCAGTATTTTCTTTGATATTAATTCAATCTACCACTCTACCAGACTGAGACTAACACGCCTATATAGTCTGTCTCACTCTAACGCGTACCGGCTCACGGCTGCACTGGCCGCGCTTACGCTACGTCACCGATCTTGTCAGGGAGATGTGAATACAGTATGCGTTCTGTCCCGCTCTATCGCGTATGGCCGCATCTATATTACGTCATGGTATGTTAGGTTTTTTTCGTTACGGAATTTCTTGATTCGGTCGCCGCGCTCAAATCCCGCGATAAAAGCTATGTAATAGCTCAAAAATTATTCACCAACCCAGTACTTATTTAAATATCTTATATAAACAAGAAAACTGAACAAAATTACTTATAAAAATATCAATAAACAACCAGATAAAAATTAAAACTTACCTCAGTATTACAACACTCTCCAACCGCGCACGTAGCGTTAGGTCGCAACGTGCACGTGTAATGATCGCAGCAGGACGTACACGCGGCCAAAGGGATCAGACCGCAGTCGCACTCTTCGCCCGGCTCGAGAAAGCCGTTGCCGCATGTTGGCGAGTCGTAGAGACTTTTTGGCTTGTTCCTTAAGAGTATTAACAAATTATGTTTGTTATTTTCTACTAAACATTTTAAGTTTGGCAGCATTTTGTTATTTCAATTGTGTTAAGTGCTAATGCTTTTTAAGTTCAAATTAAACGTTCATAATTTCATATAAAAACATTAACTGATCATTCTGAAATTACACACTATATATTATATTTAGATTAAAATCAGTCTTCCACGAAACTCTACACGAAGACAGTAGTAGTATGTTTTTTTTTTCATTTTATGGCAATTGTTATAACTTTATGCCAGTTTCAGTAATATAATGTTTCTTCATCTTCAATTCGACCAATCTGCGACTCATGTATGTTATGTCAAGTGACTGACATACATAATCATTAATTTTTAATTAATGATTATTTACAAACTATAAAATAGGGTTACATACATAAAGAATACAGAAAATTTAATTTTTTATTTAATTTTCTGTATTATTACTTTTTTGTGTATTTTTTGTTTTCCCTTATATTTTTTTGTACTTATAATATGGTTTTAAGGCTGTTAGCTAAACTTACCGTAAACAATAATCCATCCCCCTCTCGAACGATAAAGCCAACGATCTAAGGCTGCAAGAGGACCAATGCGTCGGAGTCACAGATGTACTGGAAGGGCTCATAATGCACTTTTCATCAGGGCATTTGCAATCTGCCTCGGTATCATGCTCCATGCCAAAGTTATGTCCCATTTCGTGGGCAATGGTGGTCGCTACAAGGCCTATAACGTTAGAGTGGTTCGTGGCCACACCCCCAGAGAAATTGTAGGTGCAGATCGGGCCCTTTAACGCCTTCCCCACTACGCCATCCTTGAATTTTTGCTGGCTGAAAATACATTTGGACTTAGTTTAAATTAATTGACAAAATCTGTAGACTTGATACTTACTCGTAGTACAGAGATTTTTGTAACAAGTTACAATATTTATATGGCACACTAAGCATTTAATTATGGCAATATTAGTTATCAAATTTCAATTTAAGGTGGTATATTTGATTTGGTTTTTTTAATATTGATTTTTTATCATTCAATATGTATTATTAAATTCACATAATCATAAGAGTCGCGTTCATTAGACATAGAGTATAAAACAATGTTGCCATTTAAGTTCATGTTTACAGATTATATCAATTTATATTAATAATCTTCATAGACATTTCCAAAAATGATTGCTAACTTACGTCAACAAATGGGCGTTGTCATTCGGTATATCCCTCAAAAGGCGATCCCGTCGGTAATGCAAAAAGGCAGTCAACGTCTTATCGCCATCCTCCTCTAGCGTGATGTCGTCTCTCTCACTCCAGACCACTATACCGACCAGCGCTATGAAGATATTTAGTGGAGCGTATACCTGGAATGGATAAAATAAATAATTGGTAAATTTTTATTTTATTATTTCCATATAAGGATTCGCTTACGTGTGTTGCTATATTTTGTATATATTACATATTATTATTAAATAAACTATTTATTTCCAACACACAAATATACAGGATTTACAATAGTCTTAACCTGCATCGTAATAATAATAATTAAAATTTGATAAATAGAAAATTAAAACAAATTTTAAAATTTTGTCCCTGTGAAAGTGTACAAATTCAAATTTGAAGGAATGACTCTTATATTTGTGCTGTTTATTATTTTCTGCCAGCTGTAAATTATTTATTCGCAAATAGCTAACATAAATTATATATAATAACAAACAATTTAACTAAAAATATAGCCAGATATGGAATACATAATATTTAACGACAAAAATGATTATCTTATAATAACTGTCAGATTTTTGTTAATTTTTTTTTGTGTAATATCCTGCATACTTTTAATTGATGTACATGCGTTTTTCAATGTTATATTTTACTGTGAGTATCTGTATGTATATTGTTAGTGTGCTTTATTAACACGTAAATGTATAGATAGGTTGTTGTCATACAAATAGACAGATAATAAATTTATAGATAGATTATAAAATTGTTTAAATTTTCGCCAACAAAAAACTTTCTTAAGATTTAATCAATTTAACTGTTTGAAATCTGTACGTACCGAATTAATAATATTGGCAACGTCTTTAAACCTATGGTGTAGCAGCTCCAGACTTTCTCCGTTGACTTTAAACTCACGATTATCAGCCACCAACACAAGTTCCACGTATCGTGACAGCTTGTTGGCATTGAATGGTCCACGGACTTGGGTGTCTTCGAATGTCTCTCGCTTGTACTGTAAGACAATTGCAGTCATGAGTTATAATTGAAGGCGTTAGGAGAGGCTTTTGGTCAAGGCGTACCTAACCTCGACCTTAAAGATTACTTTAGTCTGTTTAATAAATATATACAAGACTTTAAAAAAAAGAATAATGTCCCTCACAATGCTTTAAATTTAAAGCGCATCGCAATAATTTTCGACTTTAAATATAAGGTATTCTAGAAGGTCAATCAAACTTAAATCGATGTAGTTTCAACGGCTGGCAAGTAATTTTTGATGTATGAAGTTTGTCATAAGTATTTGACAACTCTCTAGACGAGATTGTGACATAGTCTGTATTAGTGAACACACACAGTGGACAAGTTTTCACAGATAGGGTAAAAATATTTTTTACCAATTATAATTTGAAATAAAAAATACGTGGGCATAAGCTGACTACAAATATTTACCCGTGATGCTCTAATTTTTTTAATATTCTGCTCAGAAGTATATTTCTCCATTAGATCCGGGTCATAGCTTTTATTGCTGGTCACACCGCCCTCGTAGCCGCATTTGAAGTTGCTCTTCAAGTCCGAATGGTCGTATATGTAGTGTTGGGAGTCCAGATTGTTATCTGGAAATAAACGGAGCTACATGCTACTTCCCGTAGTGCCACTATGGAATGAGTTCCCTGAAAATCTTGTCCTGTCATCATAAATGAAATCAGATGATTTCTTATTATCCTTACAACACGCATCGGTATTAGTGCTTCTAGTCATAATAATTTTACTAAATAATTATAATGTACTACTCTAGTGAAATTAGGTGAACGACCTTCCCATCTTCTTCCTTTTTTCCTATGCACAATACTTATTCAATTTATTAAACGTACCGTCCCGGAAGGTACCAGGTACCATATTCTGCATTCAATTATATAACAAACAACATTCTGTATTATTGCATTATATAAAGAATTAGATGTAATTTATTTTTATAATAAGAATCTACTTGTGGTAACGTTAGTATTGATTTCGTGATTTAATTGTTGAAAAATCCTGATACAAAATGTAGTCTATAATACTACTATGAAATAAATTTACTAGACACGTTTTTTTCATCACTAAAGTCTAAATTTTTACTTAAAAATAATAGACGGATAGATCTTGTTTACCGCACTTAATATCTACTAACTAGTTACTCTATCTATATCCTAAATTACATTAGTAATTGTTACAAGACTTAATAATAACGAAACCTTAACCTACCTTCAGCCGGTTCGATGTACATTAACTTTTTGCCGTCGAATATGATTCCGCTAAACCCGTGGCAGGTGGATATCGCTACAGTGCTCCCTTCTCGGCCCCTTACCGTACCCCTATATTGACATATGTTCAGTTCCTGAAAAATTATTGTTGTAAGCTATATTTGTAATCATAATATTTCTTAAACGTAGTGGGCTTCTTTTTCGCTTGTAGTTATGAAGTGCGTGTTTAAATAAAAGTATAATTCAAATACAATATCATTTATTTAAAACAATATCATTTTTATTGGTAATACAATGTACACTTATGAACGTCAAAAAAGAAATATATATGAAATTCTTCTAAGTTTACATTTACTGCCAGTTCTCAAATAAAGGGCGTAGAACGGAAGAGAAGAACTGGCAATAAACTCCGCCACTCTTTTTAATCGACAAGTTTTTTGTTTTTCACAACGTTTGTAAGGAGATGCAACCATTACACCATGTTCCACATGACATCTTAAGTAATTAATAATAATAAAATAAATTAAAAACAAGGATTTGTCCTCTATCAGCAGGAGGCCTGGCGAAATAGGAGCGCGCACTTACATTCTCGTGGGAACAACACGCAAATACATAGTCGAAATAACTAATATAACCGCATACACGAATCTATTAATTTGCCTCTTCTTTTAAAAATCTACCATTCCAATAATCATATTGCGTGTTTGTAAAGGACGGATTACCTTACCTGCGACCCGGACAGGGTCTCGCATTTTAAAATTTTTTAAACGTTAGTACTTTTCAAAAAAATTAGTAATTTTACAAGTTTATTCTAAACACAAACTCATTTGTACTGGACTTATAAATAGAAAATTTTGGCTGTATGACCTCTCCCCAAAACTAGATTCTATCGGAACTGTCAAAGCATTGTTTTCTTTTTTATTACATATATTAAAATGACTTGACTAACCTCTCTGCTAGGTTTATGTAGTACAGTCTTCCCATTTTTCTGGTAGCTGACCACGTGATCGCCTGCGACTACTTGGTCATTCAGCCGAAGGTCCAGCACATAGTCTTCCTCTCCTTTAGCTATGGTTAACGTCAATTCGGGATGGTGAATACCCGCCTGAAAATATAATGAAAATCCCTTAATTAGAGTCCTGGCAATGTATTCATTTGAAAACGAATACGTTTCAAATAAAAATAATAATTAAGGAGCCTCTTAGTTAAGCCAAAATCAATTTGTTTATTTCCAAATAATTTTCTCTCTAGAGAGCAACTCTATTATATTTATATCATTCTATTACAAGATTTACAAAAACTTAAAATTGTATCAGTGTAATATATAAAACCTCCTATGATTGGCATTTGTGAGAGAAAAACAAAGATCACAAACGATTTCAAAAGATAACATATGGAAATAAAAAGTATCCCATTTTCAACCGCACCCATATACGGGACAATACACAAAAGAATCTTAATCTAATTGTATGCACGAGCGGTTTTTACCTTTTAAAACTTGAATAGCATCGTCGAATAAGAATCCAACAAACGGATGGTTAAACGTGATATTAGTACAGTGTAATATAATACAGTTATCATTTAAAGACGTAAAATTCGATATTTTCACACAAAATTCAATTCGTCAGAATACTTTTATTAAAGAATACTTCCTTGTAAAACCAGACACATTTTTAACCATATTATTATATATTATACATATAATTAATCTATCTCCTCCTAAATTACCCTCTAAATCTAAGATTTTACAAAAGTAATGATGTGTTTTCACCACAGGTCAAATATAATTTGACAAAAAGATCCGATTTTATGTCACATAATATGCCATGCCATATAAAAAAATATAGTTTCATCAAAAAGGTGGGTACATGGTTAACCTATACGCGACTTGACCTACCCGCAAATTTTAAGCATGACTCAAACAAATGACGTGAGCAAAGGCTTTGAATTTAAAATAAGCAACATTCAAATTAATTCATGCCTAAAATGCCATTTACGGTCTGTTAGATTTGATTTCTCAATGATACGGACCAAGATATTAAAGTTTGCGGTCATTAATAACTACTAAAACCTTGTGAAACTATAATTTAAAATGAATTAAACTGTTCAAAGACGCTAAGCTTAAAACAACAAAAAACAAGTCCGTAAAATATTATAATGACTTTTGTTGTTTTTCTTTTTTGTAATACACACTTTAAATAAAGGGTAACGGCAAATAAAAACTAATTTTCGTAACCTCTTGGAAATATTTATTTTATTTTAAATATATTTGAACATCTATAACGATTTCGACAAGAACTTTCTTTTGTAAATAATTGACGTCAATTATTAAATGCACTAAAAAGGTTAGTTTTGAAGATTAATAAATAAACAATAAATAATTGTCCACCACGATTACAGTTAAAGATATGGTTCCTTTCATCACTTGACAAAATGGTTTCTATTCCATTAATGACTTCACAATTTTGATGGCACAAATACTGGTTTGGGCACAGATACTGGTTTCGTATTAGATATATTCAGATATGAAAAAAAGAAATTATTATATATTCGGTTAACCGCCTATGTAGCTGTTAATAAGTTAAAAACAATTGGACAAACATACACCATTAATTAATTTGTTTAACTACTTGCACAATTGAGCAGTGTTGGCCAAGTGGCTCCAGCGTGCGACTCTCATCTCTGAGGTCGTAGGTTGGATCCCCGGCTGTGCACCAATGGACTTTATTTCTATGTGCGCATTTAACATTCGCTCGAACGGTGAAGGAAAACATCGTGAAACCGACATGTCTTAGACCCAAAAAGTCGACGGCGTGTGTCAGGCACAGGAGACTGATCAGAAATCGTGAAACAGATTCAGAAATCTGAGTCCCAGACCTAAAGAGGTTGTAGCGCCACTGATTTATTTTAAATAATACTAATACCACCAGTCCCTTATTAAACTTAGCTAAGAGATATCAAGAGACCTTCTCACTGCATAAAGATAATATCCGCTTGATAAGGTGGAACTAATTGCATGACATTTACAACCCGTCAGTCGTCACAAATATATCATAAAAAACGACACATTTCTTAGATATAAGTATTACAGTTGCTGCTATACCGCATCAGCCAGATGATTTATTATAACCTCAGGAAGCTTACCATAGAATTATCGATCTAAAAGTTAACAATTGGCTGGTTTACAAGGCTTGTATCTTGAGCGTTGATGATGCAATCTTGAAAATACATCGTACGAAAACTCAATATTGAAGCGCTGATGTTACGTTGTAAGCTTTCTGATGCTAGTTACCTTGCGTATTTAGAGGAGAAACACAACTTCAAAGCATGGTTACTAGTCAATTCTCTATATTAACTAACCTTTCCATTTTAAAATGCTACTTTCACAGTGAGTGGAGTTATTACTAGTCTAGAACTATCGACTTCTTCTAAACTATAAACTTCGTCCTTCAAGAGCGTACCTAATCTTTAAAGGCCGGCAACGCACTTGCCTTCGGGCATTGTGAGTGTCCATGGGCCTATGTGTCCGAAAAAAAAAAAAAAAACCATTGTGACAAATTGTTTCTCAATAAACTGTCAGTAGTGTGTTTTAATTTTCAAGATGTGCATTAAAAATAATAAACAAAGTTTACTTTTCTAGTTTTTATTATATTTTTTAAACTCATGCTTGCGTAAAGGCACTTGACTCATATTTCGAAAGTGCAGTTCATTAACGTTAACGATATACGCATAAGCATTTGCAAATATAAATATTTATAACACATTTTGAAACAATAAGCATATATTGTTAGAAATTTGTCGAAAGTTGTTAGTATTAGTTTTTGCTAATCTTAATTATATAATGTTTACGCGAGTACTACACATTAAATAAACGCGAATTTATTATATTAAATTAGTTTCGATTACTTTCCAGAAACCATAGCGAGAGTTTATATTTTGGTCCATGTGCCTCGTACGAACTCGAATTACCTGCATAATTCGCCAATGTTTCGGGTTTTATCTAACTATAACACTAATTATGAGGATATTGATATTTTCCACCTCACCAAAGAAGATGTGAGGAAATATTTGAAGAGGCGGGAAGAATCTAATTTTGTTTAGGTAGTGATATGAAATAATTAGTATTATTTGTTGTTATAATGTTAAATTTCAGTTTTCTTTATATGGTTTTGTCTATTGATGCGCTTATTTGTTTTATTTTTCGTATATAATATTGTTTATCTATGAAATCTGTTTTGGCTTTCTGTACTGTCTAAGTGTTTGTTTTGTAATATTATGTATGTTAGCTGTAAGATTAATTATAATTAAATAAATAAATATATCCTTCAAAAAAAAATTATATAGTTAAATTTTATTTAATAATTAAATAAACCCTTTCATTTCTCAATGGACAATTTGAGAGTCTATACTTTACAAATATTCCGAAGTATAATATATTACTAGGAGAAATGATGGTGTTGTATCCATCTGTGAGCAAGTAATGCTACAGAAGGAGACAGCAGAACGAGAGAAGGAGCGCTTTGGACGAATCCGCGTTAGAAGAGCGGAATAAATAGAAAGATATGCCTATCTCCTACCTCCTATTTAGTGTGTACTTCACAGGAGGTTTTTGAGTGTAACATTTCGTTGAGGTAGCATGCGAGAGCGACCCCGGAGTTTTTGTAACGCGGCTTTCGAGGAACTACTCGAGGTGGTTTTAGTGGGTATTACTCACCCAGTCTCTGAATAGCAAAGATTCTGCAACTATTGGGGCAAATTCACCTCAGATATCATAAGGGATGTGTCATGCCTCAGTGGCTAAGGTCAAAAAGTTCTATATATATCCTTAGGCGGCAAAACTTCCTAAGCGCGTTTCAGGGTATGACGTGATCGAAGCGTAGGCTGTAGGAGTACACGAGGACCCTTTTCGTAGTAGCAACCCAGAAACAATTATTTGTTACTGGCAATCGCACCTGTAACGGCCGCCATGAAATCGGCTTTTAGGTATTACCTAATTGTAAAATGTTTACCGTGTCCTTAGTAGACGTTATCTGCCGTTTCGTTCTCGCATGATGCAGTAATGGTCTGACTAGAGTGTGTCGTCTGAATTCCGCCGCCGGTTTTCCTGCAACAACAAATAATTAATTTTCATAAAATTTTAATATAATATATAAATTACGTGTCACGTTGTTTGTCCGCTATGGACTCCTAAACTACCGAACCGATATCAATCAAATTTGCCCACCATGTGCAGTTTGATCTAACTTAAAAAGATAGGATAGCTTATAGCTCAATTTATACCGGCAATATTATTCTATTGCAAAATATTTGTTTATTATTTGATAGTCACAATTCTAACAGATGGCGCTGTGTTGAAAGTACCAACGTTTCACATAAGCTATAATTTAATGGCATAACGTAGTGTTCTCTTACCGTTTCCCTTGAAAATTACTATGTAATATATAACAAAAACTTTAGCCACAGCAAAGCTTGGCCGAGTCTGCTAGTGTTCTATATATATAAAGTCATAACAATTGGGTTTAAAGCGGCTAATGCTAATGTCTAATTTCTAATTCGGCTGCGTTGTGTGATGGTGTGTATGTGGGGTGTGATCATCAAGCAGGTTGTTTAGCGGTATGGATATTCTTAATACTCATTTTAACCATATTCCGCGATAGCTTTAACAAGTGAAGGCCTAAATAGTAGTTTATTTCAAATATAAATGATTTTTATATTGATATGGTCATTATAAGATGTTTTTAGGTTAGCTAATTACGTTACCATAAAACAGAAGGGGTAAGTACGGATTGAATAAATTCACCGACTCGGTATTACATGGATCACAACTTCCTACAGTAGAAGAACTGTGTTGCGGGACTTGATTTTCTTAGCTTTTAGCATATTTCTTTGTTCTTTAGAGTATGAGGCTTGTAATAAAATCATTTTGTTTAGACACTATTCATTTGAACGATGACTTAGTGTGAGAAATATCCATTATTTCTTATGAAGAGATTTAGGTCTGTTTTATCTCGTTTAAATTATGCTTAAGTTGAACATATATTTTGGTTTGATATATTCTATTGATTAAGCGTAGCGTTGCTGAAATTACAAGTAGCGATCCCGACAGACACTGTCCTGTACAGAGATATCAAATACGAAAAATCCAAATTTAAAAAACAACCCTCGAAAACACATACATACAAAAATTTCATCCAAATCGGTCAGCCGTTTTGGAGTTTAATTACAACACTCACAGATTTATACATATAAAGCTACCGACACAATAGCCATTTAGGTAGCCGTCGATTTTTGAGCTCAAAACTGCTGATCAAAGATATTTTATTTAATATAACGAAAATGGACAGAGTTCGAATCCTCCTTCGAAGACCTCGGAGATGAATGCCAGATCAATACTAGTATTAGCTCGGCTTTAGCGATTTATTTGACCTAATATCATTCAATAAAGCGTGTTACTGGTTTCCTCATCAACTACACATTGTGCTTTGCGAATTGTTACCGTAACAGTGGTCTTACATGGCGGCAATGTTCAACATGGCTTACATAACTGTATATTTCATCATTATTCTTATTATTATCTTTTAAATATTAAAAGTGTGAGAAATCTCTTGAATTCATTAATAATTCAATTATATACTTTACGAACACCCAAACAAAAGTTAACATATTTTAAAATGTTTATTTTTTTAGTTCTAAAACGATATTATCATACATTTTAGTTATTTAAATACCTGTACAAAGGTTTTGACTTCGGCGCCATATAAACCACGCCCGGTTAAGCCTAGATATAGACCAACGACCTAACAATTGCCACATTTTTTTCAATTACCATGACAATAAAAGTAAAACTCGCCAACTAAATTTTAGCAAACAAAACGAAGCAATATTTTTACATTGTACAGAAGTCGCTTCCCGTCATTTTATAATTGGTTCTAATTTTCTTTATTACTTATTTCAGTAGTTAATAAAATCCACGATGTATAAAACAAAGTTACTTAAATTGTAAGATTTTACAGCAAACACGTATTTATATACGTAGGGTGGAGATAGCCACTTAGTACTCTAAGCAAAATAACACTCAAAGAAAACATTTTTTAAGACACAAAATTCGAGAATTATTATAAATATACACCTGATAAACGAACCGGCTACAAATAATAAAAAGCCAATTATAATTATTAAATAAAAAGAAAACCACGAGTTAGACTAAAGGTTCGTTCCATACTCCTCCGAAACGGCTGGACCGATTCTTATGAAATTTTTTATGCATATTTAGTAAATCTGAGAATCGGCTACTATCTATCTTACAAACCCCTAAGTGATAATCCCCCCAATTTTTTATTATGTGGCATTAAAAAAATTCATACAACCCTCAATTTTCAACCCCTATTTTTTAGCATAGTTATAGTAGATAGTTACTTTTATTGAACTAAAAAAGTGTTGCCTTGAAATAATATACATGGCAAAACAACGATTGCCGGGTCAGCTAGTAAAGCCATAAAATTAATCAATTAATCAAAACTTGTAAAATAATTAAACCTATAAAGGTACGCGGTAATTATATTAACAAAATAATATTGCCGAAAATTAAGTCAACGACCAAAGTAGTGTAACGCCACACGCGTTGTTTTAGACAATTTTAGATCGGCCTACTTTAGTTAACAATTAGCACATTGCAACACGAACTTAGCGGTTAAAGTTTTATAACGAATTAATGGGGTTTTTAATTACGGTTGTTCGAGTCGTGCTAAGATATTGTATTATATACGTCTCGAGACTCATAAAGGGAAAGTACCTTAAATATCGTAGATGGGATATTTTTCTGAAAATAGACTTATTTTATTTTTAAGAGTAAGTATTTCTGCATTCAATGATTTAAAAAAAAAAAATTATTGTCGAAGCGACACAAATGTGAAAACACCCTTATTTTTTGATACCAATTAAGAATGGACAAAAAATAATAATTTCGATTCAATTTTTCGATTTAGATTAGTTCGATTACTATTATAATACTTTTGAAAATAAAATAAAGTCTTCTTTCAGCAAAATACCCATCTACCATAATATTGAAGGTACATACTTTCCTTTGATTTCCCATAGTCTTGGGACGCCCTGTATACTAACTACATAGTTAAATATAGGTAAACCACCTCCACTAATGGATGCACATGGTGTATAACAGGGAGGCTTGGGTTCAGGCAAAAGAAAAATTTGTTTCGCGTTTTTGGACACAGATACTGGTTTCGTATTAGATATATTCAGATATGAAAAAAAGTAATTATTATACATATTCGGTTAACCGCCTATGTTGCCTATAGCTGTAAATAAGTTTAAAACAATTGGACAAACATACACCATTAATTAATTAGTTTAAGTACCTACTTGCACGAATGAGCAGTGTTGGCCTAGTGGCTTCAGCGTACGACTCTCATACCTGAGGTCGTAGGTTCGATCCCTGGCTGTGCACCAATAGACTTTCTTTCTATGTGCGCATTTAACATTCGCTCGGTAAATGAAAAGATCTTGAGGAAACCGGAATGCATTAGACACAAAAAGTGACGGCGTGTGTCAGGCACAGGAGTCTGATCATCAACTTGCCTATTAGATTTACAAATGTTCATGAAACAGATACATAAATCTGAGGCCCAGACCTAAAAAGGTTGCAGCGCCACTGATTTATATTTTACTTGAACAATTTATTTTTAAATAACACACCAATAATATAATATTGTTATGTACTCGTAAAATATTGAGATTTTGAATAAGTCGAACTGTTATGATAGCTACAATAGAAACTGATCCAAAGCACACATTTGTGTTAGCATGACTTTGGGAATTAATTAAATGGTTAAGAATTAAGAATATCTATTCGTTAGTACCTTATAATCAAAATGTACACAATATAATGCACACAACGCCAAGTTAACAATTCGTCTATAAACAACATCGTAATATGGGACAGTTACAGACTTCCTCAGTTATGTAGGTCCATTTCGCAATACAGAAATTTCATATCGCGACTTCTAACTCGGGAATTCTATATTAAACTCACAATCTAATTTCTAGCGTTTTCATGCTAAAAGACAGTATTATTTCTCCATAATAAAAGGTGGCAGCATTTAAAGACAAAAAACATGTATTGAATCGAAAACGGCTTTTTCATGTGACTAAAATTTATTTTTACTTGTTTTTAAAGCAAGACATGAAAAATCTCTAGAATGCTTGTCACCCATGTGGAGGGAAATCGATCTCTAACGATCGATTTAATTAGTGCAACAACTGGATTTAATGTGCAACAGTGCTGTCAAGATGCGGAGCACATACAAAAGTGGAGGTTTATAGTGATGCAAGTAGCTAAACCGGAAACGGAAACAACTCAAAAATAATGCTCAATCAAGAAGTTCTTAAGTCTCAAAGGTTACTGCATTTGACTACCGTCACATAAAACCTCAAAAAATTACTAATGCTCTTGAAATCTCGATAAACTGGTTTCAATTTAGTTGCTTCACATATAGAAATTTGTAGTTTATAAAGTCCAGTATATTTACGAATCCCCCTCAAATACGAATTGTGTTTGGACTAGACTGTGCCTTTATTCTCAATCATAATAGTTGAATTGAACATTTCTTCCTGTAGATCTGAAGGTCTGGGATAATCGGTTAATAACGCAGCAAATTCTTTGAAAGCAACGTGTTCGCTAGATTCCTAACACGGTAAGACGTGATAAGGTAAGATTTATCACAGTCATGGGATTGCGTTATCTCAACGGGAATTAGTTAACGGACTTGAAGATTTATGTTTCCTCATAATTTTCAGTTTACTAAGGACTTATTTTCTTTGTTTTGTCACCAGAACGTATATCATTATTGTTTTACTTTAACAGGTTTTTTTGGCTAAATTAAAGATCATCGCTATAGTACCTATACTGAGCGTCTTGCGAAATGGACCTACATAACGGAGGAAGTCTGTAACTGTCCCATTACGATGCTGTTACGAATTCTTAATATACCGCCTTGTATGCATTATATGAGGTATATTTTTATAAGGTACTTATAAGGAAGTTGTCGTCAGAAGAGAGAAAATATATTTTTGTATATATATAATATATATCTGTTTCACTTGATATTTCTTTGTTTACAACGGCAATTATAAGATGAGATATCAAATAACTATGTATACGATATTTTATATTACACATTTAAAATGCAATATTGTGTAAAAAAATTAATCAGCCAATTAGCAGATAGATATCTGAAAAATGTCTCTAACACATATAGTCACAATTATATGGCACTGAATAACCGTAAACACGCATTTAATAGGGTTACCAACATAAAAAACGTAGAATAGTATTTACATTTTATGCTATTTCATGTAATTTTTTTATTGTAATCAAAGACATTTCCCTTGCAAACTTCTTGAACCCGGAATTTTATACATTATGTTCAGTTTTTCGTAACAACTGATCTAAAAACAAAAGTTCCTTGAAATTATATGAATAAACAATCTTGAATTTGACAAGACAAGAGTACATTTGGAATCACTTTCAAGAGATATTTGTGTATAATATATTAATTACAAATCTAAGGAGTGTACGACCAACCAGGCTTCAGAAGATAAACCACTCCTTATATGGAAATTGTATTCGTTTTTACAACAAACTCCCAATCGAAATTAAAGAATTAACACTGAATAAATTCAAAGCTCTCGTTAAACGTAAATTAATCTTTTTATAATTATGACGAATATTTAAATGTCCTAATCCTTGGGATTGGTTTGCTCCAGTTCAAACAACTTGTACGAGTCAAACTTGCGATTAAAAAGGGTGGCGGAAAGTTTCTTGCCAGTTCTGTTTGCCCGCTCTACGCCCTTGACTTGCGAACTGGTAGTAAATGTAAATTTAGAATTAATTTAACTTCTTTTCTGACATTCATTAGTGTACTTGTTTACCTATATGAATAAAGTTATTAAGAGTTTGAGTTAAATCAATAATAAGAACGACAATTGTTTTAACGACAGGCAGTAGGTACGTATACTGTACAAATATATTCCGACACTAAAATATTTATAAGACCTATAACAGTGAGATCTATAAATTACGAATATAAAACAAATGAAATCCAATTTAAAATTTCTATAGCGACAACCATACCTTAATAGCTCGTAAATAGTGAATGGCGGAGCTTGGCAGTGAGTTTTTTATAGCAAAAACGTTTGTGTAATCAATGTTACTTCTATTAATAATTCCTTATAATAATTAATACACTTTGAAAGTATATGAACAAAGGCTTTGTTTTATAAGCTCATAAATAATTATTGCGTTTATTTGTTATTTACAATGTCTTCGTCAATGCCCAGTGATAGGTGAATAAAATAAATCTCTCTAAGAAAACTTTTTGCTGTGCTACCCCATAGAGTCCCGAAAAAGCGAATATCGCTTTTTAGGAATAAAAACCTAAGCACCAAATAAAACAATTTTTTTTATTTTTTATTTGGGGCCTTTCAAGTATTACGTAAGCAGATTTACTGCAATTATCCCTCTCTCGTTCCTCTTGTCAGCAAAAGTAAGCAAAGCTCTCAAAAATAATAGTACATACATATTAATTTTTTGTAGGAATCCTCGAAAATGCGGGGGGGGGGGGGGGGGGGGGGGGGGATTTTGTTTTCAAAGCATAGACAATGTGTGAGTAATATGTGTAAAAAAGTAAATAATTACTGTTGATGTAATCACCCAATTAAGATAATCTAAGACCCCCCCCTCACCCCTATAGTGTTTACGTAATACTTGAACGGGCCCTTTATCCAATTTTTCTCAG